TGGACAACCCCCACTTATTTCCTAATTCAGATATAAATATTGCCCATCATCCCAAATGTCGAGTTAGTCTTCCTCTAGTAGTCAGTTGGAATCACGTTGCTAAAAAGATCTGGTACATACTCGGCCGCATTGTTCGCCACTCAAAGTTCGCCTGTAAGTTGTAACGAAAATAAAGATTTACTTGGAATACAACACTACCATCGCCTGTTGGCGGCGTCCACAAACATTTTAGGAACCTTTTTTAAACACGTTAAATACCGCATCAGTCATAAATAACTGTCGTGGTTCGATTGAAAAGTTTAGTGTCAATCATGCTTTCGCGGCTTACGCTGCCGTACAATGCAACCACTCTTGTGGAAAACTTCCTCGTACCGAAAGGGTTAAACCATTCAATTTGTCCTTTTTTCACACTCAGACTTTCCTTCCCAATCTTTCCTCTTTCCCGCAAGCTCGATGGACCAGTACAGCCTACGGGGGATTGTAGTCTTCGAATAGATCTATCTGTTGGCGAGTAGATGGCTATGCTCACCACTGGATTGGAATCTTTACACACATACCGCACTCATAAACTAACTTCCATTCGTCTATCGCACTCGGCTGTCATGCATATCCACTCGATCATCTTGCGCGCGGTCACCTTTCTTCTAACTATGTTGTTCTAACTTTGTTCGTACTAATTTTAATGGCCAATTAAATTAAAGTTGAAAATTCGTTAATATCTTTTATTAACAAAGTCTTTACACATGAAGCTAACGACTGTACTAATAATGAAATGCTTGCCCTACTGTATTGCTAACAATTGCGAAGCATTTATTTTGTTATACTGGTGAATATTTTACTTCCAAGGTAAGGGGTGAAAATATCAAAATTAAGAGAAAAGGGGATATTTTTCAAATGGTCTGCGCAGTTGATCGAAATGAAATTTGGCGATGTTATAGAGGAAAAGGAAGAGGGGGACGGGGGGAGGGGTGCCATGTATAAATTTTAGCTTTCGGAAGCAAATATTTTCCCAGGTATCAATAAAGAAACGTTCGGTATGTTATACATAATGCCATTATGTTTTATACTAAATACTAAAAGGCTCGCGACAGTTTATATTTTTAAATCACTTGTTTATGAGATTTTTGTTGCGTGAACTTAAATGTCAACTTAAATCTATATATACGCACACAAACATCTCATCGTTATCGATTATACTCGCACTTGTGGATAGAAATGAATACCAATATCTTCCACGTTTTCAACAGTTGACAAATTAATATATTTAGGTAATAATGTTTAAATATTTACAACAATTCTCAATAAACTATTTTAATGCTGCTGATTCATTGCGTTGGCAAATCAACCAATAATAACAATTATCAGGTATGGATAACAATGTTTTCACGTATTGCTTTTATTCGAATGTTCTAGATGTGAGTAATGTAGATTATTTTTTATTACTTTTACTATTTTATAAATCAGTTGAATTGCTAATATAATCAGCCTTCAACCTTGAAAAATAGTACAAGCGTGTATTATTCAATAAAAAACTTTCTATGTGCAAATAAAAAGAATTTTGTTGTTATAACTTAAGGGGTTATATTTAAATTGTAATAAGAAATGTGGATTTTCTGCTAATTATATATTTAATTTTACATACAAATAAAAAAATATACTTATTGTTGTTGGATTGAATTGACGGACACGGGTTTTTTAAAGACAGAAACAAACGAACATATATATGTATATTTGACAATATGAGATGATACAAAATTGAAAACAGTATTTATTTCTCTCAACGTACTAGTCCACAACACGGTTAACTCGCGACTGTCGCATGAGACAGGTAATGCCTACAGCCCAACGACACTTCTGTCACGGGACTAGTTTGCAACGGCGAAAAATAAGAATAACTATGCCTCTATACGAGATACTATCCGTAGAGTAGGTATACTGTAAGAGAAGTGACACGTAAACAGAATTTGAGAAGAACTGACTATATTTAGGTTTTGGGATATATACAGTAACTCACGAAAACATTCGGACACTTAGATATGCCTAAATTAATCACTTAGTATCGCAAATACTTATACACAGATCGTATTCGTTATTTATTTTGTGGATAAGATATTTATTTAAGTTGAGAAAACCATGTGTTTTATTTAATAAATTCATATGGATTTACTGTAACAAATTATAAATAAAATAATACCCTATTTTCACGTCAGAAAAATATTCGGACACTTGGCACAAATAACATTATATAACCCTAATTTATTTATATAAACACATTTTCTAATATTTTGTCGCATAGCCTCTTTATTTCAATACGTGTTTCAATCTGTTGGGCATATTAAAAAATGATTTTTTCCAAATAATTCGTACCGATAGTAGCCCACTCTTCCAGCAATTTTTGTTTCAGTTCCTCTTTTGAGTTAATTACCGTCTTTCGTATTCTGCGATCTAACTTATCCATAAATTTTCAATCTGATTGGGATCTGCTGATTGTGGTGGAGGATGAAGAACTTTCGAGCAACAATGAAGCAAGAATTCTTCAACAATGCGTGCTTTATGTTAGGGGTCGTTACCCTGATAAAACTTAAAATTGTTGCGAATTCCCATTTTTTCTGCACTATTTAATAAATTATTTTTTAGTAGGTGTGAGTGACAGTTTTTGTCCATGATGGTGTCAATAAAAACTAAATTGCCAATTCCTCTGGTCGAAATACAGCCCCAAACCATCACGCCACCTCCGCCGTGTCTTACGGTGTCTCTCGTATTTTGATGGTGGAACTCTTTATTCGCCTTCCGCCACACCATTCCTTTTCTCTCTGAATTATGGATGATAATGGAATGCAAGTTCATCCCGAAACAATTCGGAGAACTCTTAAGCAACACGGGTGCAACATATCTGCGATACGATGTGATTAATTTAGGCATACCTTGGTGTCCGAATATTTTTGTGAGTCACAGTATATATTCTTGCTCTCTTATGCTAGGTGGTTTGGAACGTGTTGTATCGTGTAGTTTGGTGGTTTGGTCATCGGATGGTAATTCGTATTAGCTGTCGTCACAGGGTTGCGTCTTGGAATTTGGAACTGTAGTCACCTGCTGATTCATGTTGGAGTTTGGAGTCTTCCTTACCTTTCCTTACTTATCGTGGGCTATCGTCACACTTCTAACGTTTTTTTCTTTCGCCATCGGTTGCTCACTCGTTATAGCTGGGATTTTTGAATTTCTATGGCCCGGAATTGTACATAATTGATTTATTTTAATAAGACGCAATAATTTGTAATACTTCAGACTTTTTGAAGGTAAAATTTGTGGGGATGTTTAGCTTTTAAGTTGGCATGAATGAGAGGTGATGCGTGGTGACGAGTGAATGTGGATGGATGGTAAAACTGAAAAATAAAAGAAGCGCAAAGAACAAGGGAGTGTGTGTCTGACCGTGTGGTGCGTGAATATACCTTTGGCGCGTGAGAATGTGCGATGAATAATAATCTAGAACTGTTGTGAGAATCCTTGTAAAAATTAATATTCTTATTAAATAGTTTAATAAGTGACACCGTCAAGTTTTCATTATCCACCACAAAATTCGCCATTGATTACGATGATATCATGTAGCATATTAGCATAAAATAAGTGTCATTTTAAACTTGATATTCCATAACTATTAAATTTATTTTAAAGTTATTTCAAAGAAGGTTTACTAGTTAGGATTAATAAACGAGTTTTCGAAAGCTATCGTTTATGTTTCTGAAATCGATTCTTTTCATATCACGATAAACTTTGGTAGGTTATTCAAGATCTATTGAAGCTGAAGGTAGGAGATAACACGAATTGCAGCCATGAATACATTTATAAGGCCTTATTCTGTAGGTACTCTGAAAAATGATTAACAAGGACATCACTGTTTAGCGCACGAGCATACTTCAGTATATTTTAGCATATTTTATTATTCAAATTAATATAAAAATGATTTGGTTCTCTATGTTTGTAGATTGTGAAACCTTCGACATCATATATGTCGGTACTTCTCGTAGCCTATTGAGGGATGCAATAAATCTATTAGAATGTAGTTTACTTTGATGGAGAATTATCGACGATATAAGTATACGATTAAATCAACTTAAAAAATTGTTTATCAAATAATTATGCTAATACGAATAGATAATGCTTTCGTTGTACGAGTAAAAATGTTTCGTCGTATATAGCAACAAACATATTTAATAACAGGAAGGAAATTAAAATTTCATACAGAATTATACTATTTGTAATTGTCCACCTGTTTAAAGTGTGGTAGTGGTTGTCATAGAATGTGTGGTTTGAGTGTGAGGAATGTTTGCGTGGAAGGATGTGTGTGTGACGAGTATGACAGATAGTCGCGAAAAACAATCAGTAGGTGATAGACGTTGTGTGTGAAAGAGTCGTCGAGAGATTATATCGCAGTTAAAAGCGAATTTAATTTACGAGATTTAGTAATAATTTATATTATGTTGTTATTGTGTTAAATAAATCTTCTTATTAGTTTATCCATTTACTCGCATAAAGAAGTTATTACTAGAAAGACAATGTATCGGAGAAGGTATTTTTAATAAATTATTCGTTCCAAATAAACGTTACAGTGTAAATGATTAAATTGATAACTGGCGAATATCCTCTTCTCAAGTAGACTCAGTTTCGAATTTTTATTTTCGTCTTCATATCATTATTAACGTACTATCAGCAACCGACAATATTTACATAAACATATTATATATCTGTGAAATATAAAAATTAATAAATAATATTTAATAGATTTTTAATTATACGAAATGCCATTGTTTTAACATTTATTTCTTTTCACTAACAACAATGATATTTCGCCAGAAGTGTTACATTGTAACCAAATCATTAAACACGTTTATCATACCGAAAGCTTCGTTACAGGTCGTAACTGTAACGAATAAGCATTATAATAAGCATTATTATGTACAAAAATACGAATAAGCATTATTTCGAGTGTGATTAATACGCATTCATGAATCATTATTTCCTAGAAAAACACGTACAGCGGTGAAGATAGAGAAGGCATTAGACAGATACTGAAACATTATCATGTTCATTACTGATATACCACATCTCGTTAATTTATTTGTCGAGATTAACAATCAAACGTTCACCTTACCGAGCAATAGTAACGCAAAGAAAGTTCAGGCAATATGCACGGGACAGAGACAACGACTGGTTTCTGGAATGCTAATACAATCAGCAAATCCTTTTGCATTTCCAGTGTCAGATCGTACCATCTTAATTCGTATGCACTCTGTGAAACGTATGTGCTCTAAGAATAATAGAAGATTAACCATACTTAAGAAAATCGAATGAACCAATTTCGTAGAAGCAGTGGAACATGATTTACCATGTCCATCACGTGATTAGCTGGCCATGCGTACACGTAAATTTCCGTGAGTGCAGTTGCAGATAAAATTACGAATTGCAGCTTCACGATTACTGATACATTCTGTTTACAAATAGCATCTTTAATTTTATATACTACATACAAAATTTGATAAGAGTCATTTACCATGAGTATTATTAGACCACATAGAAGCAGGACAAATGTGCTTATTGCTATGGCATAGATTATAATGAATCGAAAATTCTTGATGATCTCTTCCGTGTATCTGGGGAAAAATAACACTCATGAATAAAATGTGTCAGTTAATACAGAGGTTAACGACATGAACAGTTTTTCCAATTCCATTATGCATGATATTGAATGTATTTCAGTGCTTTGCAGACGAATATAGCAATACACCCCTAATTCACTTTTTACGCGATAGATACGTTCCCGAAGAATACGTGTAAAAAAAATTCGTGTAAAAAAATAATTGCATCTTTGGAAAAATGGAAGATTGATACCAGTCCCAAGAAATCAGAAAAAATAATTCTATAAATCATGAGTTTTCATGTTAGGATCTTAAACATGATATTTAATAAAGATTGCACATGTATCATATAAAGTAAATTATCATTTGAAAAGGAAAAAAAAACAT